TCAACTGGCTCAGGGAGGGGAGAGGGGTGGAGGTAATCTACATAGTCACCAATTCGCCGTCGCTAATATTTTCAATATCGATGATTTCTTCATCACTGGAGTCGTCGTCAATCACAGTCACTTCTTTGGCATCCGCGGAGTTGGGATGGGGATTCCGAGGGCCCACCGGTTTGCCGGTAGGACCATTCGTTACTGGGTTACATCCAGTTGTTTCCAACCCCCGCGGCAGGTCGTCCCCTTTTGCATCCCCATCTCCATTGCCATTGTCACGGCCAAAATTATCGATGAGGCCCCCCACCCCACCAGCTTGGGGCGGGATAAACCAGGGTAGCGATTCGTTGATGTTAAGCACATCGTCGGCGGGTTCCAGCAATTCGTTTAGCCACTGGTAGGCCAACCGTTGCAAGGCGGTCGGGCTTGGGGTGGGAGTAAGCGAGAGCGAGAGTGGGAGTGGGAGGATTGGTGTTGGGTCGGAGACGTTGATTAGGCTAGTCGGGAGGTAGTTATGCCAACGAACCCTTCCTCCCACATGGTCGGGAGCAACTGTGGAATCCCGGTCCCTGCCTCCGGGGAGCCGCCGGTTCACTGAATTAGGACCCCGGTGGGGCGGAGGGGGTGGTGGTGGTGGTGGGGACGTGGTGAGTAACTTGGTCCAGTTGGGGTGGTTGACCAACGATGGACGGCTGTTCGCCGGGACTGCTGCCGTATCCGTAAGTTGACTAGGCCACGGATGTGCTTCGGAGTTTCGCGGGAAGCCAATTAGGAGCCCGGTGAGGCCAAGCGCTGCTAGACGGTACATTCGATAGGAGCGGTTTGCTGGTATATTGAAATGACTTGTGCTAGGCCTTGGTCGGGAGCGTAAAGTTATTGAGAAGGCAACAATAGTAGCTAGCGAATTGAAGGGTCTCGACGTACAAGTGTTCACTAATGGTTGCAAATCTATGGCTTGTATTAGCAGGAAGACAGCGAGACTTTTACCAATAACAACCAGGGCTTCTAGGCTATTTATGTGTCTTACGACATAGCCATAAAGTGCGCCATCCCCACCCTCTCCAATTTGAATGTTCCACCAGCTCAGGGGTTGGGGCGATGTCCATTGGGAGGTCAGTTGAATTTTATTTAAACAAGTATCATTTCTAGCATTGAGTAGCACGCAGATGGATAAAGTAATATTATATATCATCTACTCTTTTAAAATAGCCTACGACTATGCGCATTACTAAAATATATTTTGTAGAGAAAGTGCATGGTGTTAAGTTTACGGTCAGAAGGGTGAGGGTCGACTGCTGCTATGACATACCCTGGATATTTCAAAATGCCTGAGCGGCAGGTATAGATGTTGTGTTTGCCAAGTAATAGTAGAGTAAATACACAATCACTAATGCTGCGATCGGAAATAATTAATACGTATATATAATGTGGAAGCCCTGCAATAACTAAAGAAAACGTACTAAAGTAATTGTCGGGCATTTGTTATTGATAAACATAAATGTTAATTCCTGGCCCTACTAGCCTTACCTTACGGTAGTGCTGACCTTGCCATTTTCTAAGCCTTACCATGTACCGCTTGCCTGTTTCGAGGCAAAGGAAATGGGCTGAACTACAAAATATGATAATGCGAAGAACCGTGGGTCTAAAGGGATATCAGCTGAGGAATACTCATAACCAAGTGACGATGTGAATGCATCTAGCCCGGGAATAACTAGCCGCTGTAAGTGTACATTCGACCCTACTCTACGCCTACAATATTCACCTAGAGACCGCTTGGAAGAGCTTGGTGTAGCGTATTCGCAGAGCCCATTGGTATGGCCCACGCGCCGCGAAGGGCCGTTTTACCTTCAACCTGTTCTCTATTCACACGATCTTCGGCCTTGCCATTTACAGGGAAGATCCCCTAAGACCGTAGTGTTTCAATAGCGCGAATAAAGATTAAATAAAAAGGGATATACCCATAGTCGCTGCAAAGGGTAGAAAGTGGAAGTTTTTGACCTCCATGTGCGTCCCTTATTCAAGGGTTACGGTTGGGGGATTTTGGTTTAGTAGGTACTACAACCTTTTCCGAATAGGGGTGGCTGACCATTTCGTATTCTGAAAAACCATGTGCCTTGCTACTTTCCGCATTGAAAATCATTTACCGTGGCCCAACTGGGCGGACAGGTATCCTCAAGAATAAAAAAACCACAAGAATGTTGGTGATGAGGGGCTCAACAACTTATGTTACGAGTATATAACATACATTATTCTCCTGTCTAGTGTTCTAATCATTTCACAGCGAACTATTCAAGGTCAAGTTATTCGACCCCATTGTGACTCGCGCTCATAAAACATATATTTTTTTGGGCCACTCTTTAGTTACCAATCCCCTTACTTCGTCGTCCCTCGTGTATTACTACTTAGTCCAACATGGGAGTGCCCGTTACAATGTCTTTAGTCTGGCTGCACCTACTGGCTATTGTCGCCACCACAACGGTTGCCGGTGTTTCCCAATCGATTTATCACCCGGCCATGGTAATTTCCGGTAAACCAGAAGTCAATACGCGCGGGACAGACTGGTCGGGAGGCTACCAGCTCCCTCCGAAGAGGTTTGTCACTATGTCACCAGTGCTTAGTTCGGACATACCCGACGAACCGGCGTGGATTAAAAAGGACAGCAGCATTCGCGTCCCCAAGATTCAGATTTCCCAGGTAAATATCCTACTATTTTGATTTTTCTATAGCATGTCCTCGTACTTTGTATAAACGTTCGAGCCAATTCGCTTTCCTCGTCAAGCTTGGCTCGGGGTATAGCAATCAGTAGCGCACACTCGCCACTCCGAGAAACCACTTCCGTCCGCACATTAAAACCAATATATAATAATATTTTTGAACTTTGCCTAATTCCTCACAGTTTACGGCCATTTTGAATAAGAAAAACGAAGATAGTGATATATTCTGGAGTCAAGCTAGCTGGGACGAATTTGCCCGCGAGCTCGAGGTGGCCGCACCCTTGGAAACCCGCGACACCTACTTTGCTGAATTGAGCAACTATCTAGGCACTACTTACGGCTATACCCCCAGCCCCCGACCCAGTCCCATGAGCGGAATGTCTATTGATCCCTCCAGCGACATTCCCTCCGAGTATACCCAAATGCTGCGTCGTATTGAAGGTAACCACCACCTGTCCCTCAACTCACGCGTGGTCGTCAATCTCGACCAGCTCCAGCTCGATGAGATTCTCCGCAATTTCCCTTTGGTGACTTCGGCTACCTGTAAGACTCTGTTGGGGCTATTTAAACTCATGTTGGCCGCGGAGTCCAACCCGGTGGCAGGTACCGTGTTGAGGGACACCCTTGAAATCTACAAGAAGTTCCCGGACCACACCCTACTTGCTCCCAAGTACTTTTTGACGGTGGCCGACCGCATCATCATGGTGACCTTGTGGTGGTTTTACCGGATCGGGCAGGTCGACAATGTGGCCCACTTTATCGAGTCGGCCGGGAAATATACGCTGAATAGCCCAATCTACCGACCAGCCTCCTTCAAACTAGCCGGTTTATTCGTTCGCTACGCCCAGCTGGCTATTACGCTGGCCACTTTTGAATCAGACCACGATTTCATCCAACGTATCGAGGGCCACTGGGTTGAAGTGCACACCCAGTTTTTCACTCCCAGTTTCACATTCGCCGAGAGCCGGACGGCTTTCCAAATTTATCTACGTGACCGGGGCCTCACTTCCCCGCTCCGCTACCTCAATTCCATCTGGGGGGCCGTGGACCCCTACACGAAGAGTATCCCCGCTTGGCCGCACACCGACGACTCGGATTACCAGTGGTTGACCAACGAAGGTCATTTGTTCACGACCATTCCCTCGGGAACGCTATCGGATTTAGAAGGGATTGATGTGGCGACAGCCCCTCCGGCAGCGTTTCAGGGCGGTATGCCCACGCCCTACTGGTTCACCACTCCCAAGGAAGACCCTAAGAAAAAGAGTCGCCTGTCTAGCGCAAAGTCGATTAAAACGGTATCGACGGCCTTTTCCAATCGTCAGTCTAGTTCGGCAAGCGTCAAGTTGAAGAATAAGACAAGGCGAAGCTCACAAATTATTACCAAAGTTAAGGACTTGTTCAGCTCCAAAAATCGGGACACTTATTAGTCCCCACACGTTTTTTCCCCTAAACTATTACAACTACCCGAAATGTTGAGACTATTCCTATTTATAATTCCAACATACTATAATTTACCGTGTGCTCACTAGTATTATTAAGCTTAATCTAATGATTAAAGATTTTCTGACTAGTAGCCATCCCAGTTGTACACAGGCAGCAAGGGGTATTCTACAGAATGTAAAAAAAAACTGACCCTAAATAATATATTACGTGGACCAGGTACAGTATGCACTTAATAAAAATAATTAATCCAATCCCATAAACAGGCTGATTCAAATCAAGTGATTGGTAGTGGCTGAGTATCCTATATAACGCCGGATGGATCGCATTGATGTTACAATCAGTGAACAACAAAATCCAATGGCAACATTAAAGTTCGAGGTTGGATTCTTCTCTGTATTCTCCTTCGCGTTCCCGTTGCCTAAACGATTGACTGGGACATACGCGTCCCTCTGTACTGATATCAATTGTCAATATATCACAGTCCCATGATAAAGCGATTAATCAGTCCAGCACAACCTTCATTTTCTTCATCATAACAAAAAAAACCAAATTCAAGCGAGCCAATCTATAATATCTAATGCTCTATTAGCGACAAATAATATTTATTATTCGTGTGTAGCTCAGAGCAGAAAAATGTATGTGGCAGAGTCCTAAATAGAATATAGCCAGACGTATGAAAATATACTGCCTGGTTCAAATTCATGTAGGAGGTGGGTAATCGCTACAATACTGTTCGTGGAACATCCAATTATTTAAACAAATTAACGTACGAAAGGGAAAAAAAATCAGTCATGGGATTTATATATATATACATTTAATATAATTAAAAAACAAATTCAATAAACATGACCCGTTTCTATAGTGTAGTGGTTATCACGTTTGCTTTACATGCAAAAGGTCGCCGGTTCGATCCCGGCTGGAAACATCATATTTTTGGTTAGCTGAGTTCAGTTAGCTGTATCTTAAAGCCATCAATAAGATTTTTCCTTTTTTGCAAAACTACGTCAGCCCTGCTGGAATAATAGTTGGGCTATAGAAAAATAGAATTATTTTTATCGTTAATGGCTTATTATGGCCAGTATTCGCAATGGTTTTTTCAAGAATGTATGTATTATTATTAGTTCATCTCTTATATTTTCTAGCAGCAAGGTCACCGAGCATTGCGTTTTACAAACGATAATAGGTATATTCGTCCTTGAATCCGAGGTATATCCACCACCAATATGTTGCTTAATACTCTATTGGTAGAGGATACGTGGGCGGATTTCCTATAATACTTTTGTGCCGATTGTTTTTTCGCATATACCCTCTGGTATAACCATCAATGGTTCTAACGAGAGGGTCGACCTACCAAGGATAGTGTAGACACTTCCCCCATTAGTCTACTTTCAAACAGTGGGGTATAAATCTCGGAGTAAGACTCAAAGGTGTTCACAAGCGAAAATGAACTGGTCGCGGCCTAACTCAAGATGTTAAACTCATTATTCTCTGAATATGACGTTGACCCATATACATTTTAGACACCCATGTTTCCAAAATATTTTGAGTAGACAATTCGTGTGTGCTTTTCTAGTTGGGAACAAGGCCACTGTGGCAGAAATATTGGACAATATGTAATATTCTTATTTATTCATCTGATAAGTAGTGTCTATAGCTATTTATGGATTATTTTCAGCGTTAAGTTCAAGGATTGGCAAATTACTTAGGTTATTGCTGGGAAAGGTTGAGGAAGGGAAAAAGGGATACCACGTAAACCATATACCATATAACCAATTAGAAATTAACGATACGGTAGAGAGGGGGGATTACCATAAGTACCCCTTTTTTTGTGCAAACCGTATACCCCCATTTTTTAGATCCGTTATAGAAACCCTGAATTAAACTAATGGCTATGCTGTAATATTTGAAACGTTCATATATCTTGATTGAGGAAAATTTGGGAGCCATCGATACTTCCGAAAATGGTATAAACCTATTCACGTACGGGGGAATAGCACATAGCTTCAGTCACTGACCTTTTTACACAAGATTATTACGTAAACGGGGCTCTGACTATGTTTATCTACCTGTGCGTTATGTGTCTAATCGATTGTCAAGTAATACAGTAAGTAAGCGACTATCTCCCTAAGCAATTCTCTTGATTCGGGATTTTTAGTTGTATTTTACTCTCGAATCCGACTCTAATTCATTTTCACAGTATCGTGTAATGCCTTCCACCATGAGCTGCACAACTAATTGACGTATTCCTTCATACATTGCCACCCTATCAACTCCAACCAGTGTCGTCATACATTTTAGGAGAGAGAGATAAACCATTTAACAAAGTGCATTCGTTTGGCTCGCCACTTCCGGAAATTAGGTGAATTATATGCCCGGCAAATTGCCCAATTTGGGAATGTTGGCTTCCCTTACACTCATTTTTGGGGAGTGTAACAGGATAGACAGGCTAAGTTCAGTACATTGTGGGCTTTAAATTGGGCGTACTTGACCTTGAGTTTGGACCACTACCCAAACCCGGTGATGCCATTTTTACTCTTACCTTTTCGGTTACGGCCTCATCGGTCAGCGGTTTCTTTATCGTCTAAAATCGCTCCTCCCCCTCTGATGGTGCCTCCCAAGTTCGAGACATTTTCCCCCTCCCAGGGTATTTTTGGTTTACACTAGCTAGCATCCCTGTGACGTCGGCCCATCGTCTACATTTTCCCACTTCGCCATTTCTCCGGTTAATCGGCCGAGTGAATCGATGTGCGGTCCATCCACTGCCCTTTTTGCATGTAACATGGACGATATCGGTAATTACCGGCTGACGAAAACCACAACAAACTGAAACACCTGGAGTGGGGAGGGCGAGTTGCTACTTCGGCAACTATTTAATTCATGGGCCCTCTGGTGCGTACCCTAGCCGTGTTTCATCATCACCCATTAACGGGGCTCTCGAATGAGACTGTCAGCTTGGCGGAAAGATACGAGGGGGTGGGGACGCTGGAGAGGAGAAGATCCCATGATGTGATCGCGAGCCTGGTGTACGTACTTATGATTCGGCCAATTAAGTACATTCGTCATGCGGCTAAATTAATAAGTGAATAAGTGAATAAAGACAACTGTATGGTCTGACTTTGAAACTTGGCATAATGCCTTGGCGGTCGTGACGAATCCCCCTAATCCAGTTTCAGACTATAGATAGATAGCGGAATGAAGCTTACCCATATGGTCCAGTCTAATGGTCGATATTTCGTTCTGCCTAGTTCCTCTCACACCCTTAACATATTCAGGGATTATTATTTTTTGATTGGACCCAAAAACAATGGTTCCCATTGTCCACGTTTTCATCATGACCCGGGTAATATTTTTTATTATATATATATATATATAT